GGTTGAGAAGATAGGGGGTCAAGGGAGGACTAGCAGTGATGGTGGGAGTGGCACGTGGGACGGTACGGAATTGGCAGAAACTGGAGGCAGGGGAGGACGAGGCCTCGCTGGCGTGCTGTCCGACGTGCTTGTTTTATCACTGACGACGCTCAACAGCGTCGGGCCTGGAGTGCACAGTTAAGCTGCGTCAGCGCCTGCTGCGTTGGTGTCCTGCTGCGTCAGTGTCCTGCTGCGTCAGTGTCCTGCTGCGTCAGTGTCCTGCTGCGTCAGTGTCCTGCTGCGTCAGTGTCCTGTTGCGTCAGTGTCGGCTGCGTCCGCGCCTGCTGCTTTGGTGTCGGCTGCGTCAGCGTCCTGCTTCATCGCTGTGGTTGGGGCGGCACACCAGGCCGTCCTTCCAACACCAGGCAGTCGTGGATTGTTCTGGTGTAGCTAAAATGATTGTTTGGCGGGAGGACGATTGTTGATGGCAGTGAGACATCTGGTGGAGATTGCGTGCGCCGACATCAAGGAGGGCAGTTGAGTGTGACTTAGAGACCAATCTTCTAGCCAGAGAATAGGAAACAAAAAGACTAAGAAGCTTCATCTTTTACGGGCAGTTGGTCCCCTTAGCCACGGTGGCGCGCGCTCTCCTTCGGGTAGACTTAGCTAAGTCCAGCTGAGATTGTAAACTTAGCGATGAGAGCTAAGTCCAGCTGAGATTGTAAACTTAGCGATGAGATAACCAGTGTGTATTTGAGACACCAAATACCCCCTCACCCATGTCACATTGCCTGAGGAACCTCATTAATCTTGAGGTTCACACATGCCGCAGAGAACCAGTACTGGCTCATTAGTCAGCTGGTTTTAGCGGGGACGTCGTCCAGAAGCCAGCTAGCTGCAGGTGAGGCATATGCAAGCTATCCTTAAAGCAGCTGCCACCAGAATGGTAGGCTGGAACTGCATGCGCAGCGCTGCAGGTTAATTGTGTGTAGCTTGCAGGTTGTTCCGTAGCTGTGGGCGTAGCCTGGATGGTGGGCGGGAAATGGGAGAAGATCCTCTGATGTCTGACTGAGGGAGACGAGTGCATACAGCAAGATGTGACAGTTTGTAGGTGTGCCTTGCGTGTCTCTTCCCTCGCTGTCATGTACGCCCTGGCACATTCACTTGTTCGTGAACGTGAGCACTCTGTCCACGAGTAGCACACTCCACGGCCCCGGGTTCGAACTCCTGGCCAGGGAGGATTGACTGCACTCCTCCCTGGGACGTAATAGCTAAAACGGCGAATGCTATGGGTTTACAGCAATGTAAAATTTCAAGTCTCTGTACTCTAATAAACCCAATGTACCTTCTTGTATATAAATCAAATCAAAATACTCTTGTAACTATTTGATGGAAGAAATCTATGCAAGCAGAAGGAGCAGAGCGGTGTGCGCATGCGTGTGCCCGCACTCAAACGTTGATGGGCTCTTGTTTATATTCGCGCGCAAAAACGGAGCCTCATCCTTGAGGAAGTTAATGGTGAAGACTAATGCTTCAGCGGTTCCCCCCCCCCCCTTGACACGTCACCATTGGGTCACTTGTCTCATTGTGTCCAGGATCACTGTCCACCCTCTCGTGCTCCCGAGCATGTTATGTTCACTGTCACTATTTGAAGTTATCGCTCGGAACACCGTGACGGAGCGTGTTCAGGGTTGTGTCACTGTTACAAGTCGCTGGCTGGTACTCGAACCAGGACAGCACATGCCGTCACAGCCACCTACCGTCACTCCCTAACTCCCACCACCTCCCGTCACTCACCGTAACGTACTGCGTGACTACTCTTGCCTAAGACCGGCGAGGAGGTCACCCAGCGGCCGCCTCGGTCGTCACCGCTGGTCAGCTCCTCACTAACATGTCCAGCTGTTGTTGTTGTTCCGAGTAGCTGAATCTATAACAACAAGTTCCAAGTAGCACGGGCTATGGTGAGCCCGTAGTGGACTTATCTGGCACAGGAGCGGGGCAAGTAGCACGGGCTATGGTGAGCCCGTAGTGGACTTACCTGGCACAGGGGCAAGTAGCACGGGCTATGGTGAGCCCGTAGTGGACTTACCTGGCACAGGAGCGGGGCAAGTAGCACGGCTTATGGTGAGCCCGTAGTGGACTTATCTGGCACAGGAGCGGGGCAAGTAGCACGGCTTATGGTGAGCCCGTAGTGGACTTACCTGGCACAGGAATCTTCTTTGCCCGTAATCTGGATTTTCAAATCCAGGGATCCCATCACAATGGTTGTACTCTTCAAGTCACTTGTGTTGTCCCGTCTTGAGTACTGTTCAGTACTCACTTCCCCCTTCAGAGCAGGAGAGATTGCTGAAATAGAGGGAATACAGAGAACATATACGGCACGCATAGATGCAATAAAGCACCTAAATATTAGGATCGTCTCAAAGCCCTCCAAATGTACTCACTAGAAAGAAGACGAGAGAGATATCAAATAATATACACCTGGAAGATACTGGAGGGCCAAGTACCAAATCTACACAGTAAAATAACAACGTACTGGAGTAACGATATGGAAGAAAATGTAGAATAGAACCAGTGAAGAGCAGAGGTGCCATAGGCACAATCAGAGAACACTGTATAAACATCAGAGGTCCGCGGTTGTTCAACGTCCTCCCAGCAAGCATAAGAAATATTGCCGGAACAACCGTGGACAACTTCAAGAGGAAACTAGATTATTCCTCCAAGGAGTGCCGGACCAACCGGGCTGTGGTGGGTATGTGGGCCTGCGGGCCGCTCCAAGCAACAGCCTGGTGGACCAAACTCTCACAAGTCAAGCCTGGCCTCGGCCGGGCTTGGGGAGTAGAAGAACTCCCAGAACCCCATCAACCAGGTATCAACCAGGAGTGGTGCAAGTAGCACGGGCTATGGTGAGCCCGTAGTGGACTTACCTGGCACAGGAGCGGGCAAGTAGCACGGGCTATGGTGAGCCCGTAGTGGCCTTACCTGGCACAGGAGCAGGGCAAGTAGCACGGGCTATGGTGAGCCCGTAGTGGACTTACCTGGCACAGGAGCAGGGCAAGTAGCACGGGCTATGGTGAGCCCGTAGTGGCCTTACCTGGCACAGGAGCGGGGCAAGTAGCACGGGCTATGGTGAGCCCGTAGTGGACTTACCTGGCACAGGAGCGAGGCAAGTAGCACGGGCTATGGTGAGCCCGTAGTGGACTTACCTGGCACAGGAGCGGGGCAAGTAGCACGGGTTATGGTGAGCCCGTAGTGGACTTACCTGGCACAGGAACGGGGCAAGTAGCACGGGCTATGGTGAGCCCGTAGTGGACTTACCTGGCACAGGAGCGGGGCAAGTAGCACGGGTTATGGTGAGCCCGTAGTGGACTTACCTGGCACAGGAGCGGGGAAGTAGCACGGGCTATGGTGAGCCCGTAGTGGACTTACCTGGCACAGGAGCGAGGCAAGTAGCACGGGCTATGGTGAGCCCGTAGTGGACTTACCTGGCACAGGAGCGGGGCAAGTAGCACGGGTTATGGTGAGCCCGTAGTGGACTTACCTGGCACAGGAACGGGGCAAGTAGCACGGGCTATGGTGAGCCCGTAGTGGACTTACCTGGCACAGGAGCGGGACAAGTAGCACGGGCTATGGTGAGCCCGTAGTGGGCTTACCTGGCACAGGAGCGGGACAAGTAGCACGGACTATGGTGAGCCCGTTGTGGACTTACCTGGCACAGGAGCGGGGCTGTGTCAACATGTCCAGCGTGGCCGTCTCTGTTAGTCCTTGTCACATAGTTAACCACCATAGCAGAGGACACTGCCTCTTCCTTCTCACCTTCGGTGGTCATGTGCAGGCGATGAGTCACAATAACGTGGCTGAAGTATGTTGACCAGACCACACACTAGAAGTTGAAGGGACGACGACGTTTCGGTCCGTCCTGGACCATTCTCAAGTCGATTGTGATGAGGAGGTAGGGACAGGCAATAAATAGGCAAGAGAGAGCTGAGGAGGAAAGTCAGGTGTAGGGGATAGTAGTAATGACTTCGTTGGTCATCACTACATACCGCGTATTACGGCCGGTGTGGAGTTCAACCCAGAGGAATGTCTAGACACGACCTCCAGTACACCCTCCACCTGACCCACGAGCCCCAGGCAGGTGGTGCCTGGAAGACCTGGGGCCAGATTCATGAAGCAGTTACGCAAGCACTTACAAACCCAGGGGCTAGATTCACGAAGCAGGGCAAGCAGTTACGAACGTGTACGTCTTTCCTCAATCTTTGACGGCTTTGGTTACATTTATTAAACAGTTTACAAGCATGAAAACTTGCCAATCAACTGTTGTTATTGTTATAAACAGCCTCCTGGTGATTCGGAGCTCATTAACTGTTTAATAATTGTAAACAAAGCCGCCAAAGAGTGAAAAAAAGATGGACAGGTTCGTAAGTGCTTGCGTAACTGCTTCGCGAATCTAGCCCCAGGTTCGTAAGTGCTTGCGTAACTACTTCGTTAATCTGGCCTTTTGGTCTTCACTTTGGGTCATGGCGCCTTTAACTCAAGACAAAGACTTCTCAAACTGTAAGATTATTCAGAGAGAATGTCTTTGCCTAAGATTTTACAATATATATAATTTTTTGTATTAACATGCTTGGGTACATCTCTCTATATATTTTTTTTAGGCTACCCTAGACTATTCGAAGGGTAACAGTTTAGGCATTTAGGCTTTAGCAAAGGCTTTAGCAACAGTGTGTTGTTAGTAAGAGTATTCTGACACTATTCCAGCCCATCATCCACCCTTCCGTCCCCCCCCCCCGACTCTCACAAGCCTTACACTCCCCTACCCCACCCCCCACTAACTGGCCCCAACAATGCCCCACTCCCTCTTACATCCAGATGCTGCCGGCACCTCTTGCTCTCTATCTTTGGCTTGCTATCTCATTTTACCGTGTGCGTGCGTGCGTGCTTGCGTGCGCGTGCTTGCTCTCACCCGTCCGTGAATAGTGTGTGACGTTGAGTCTGTCGTCAAAGTGATTTATTAGTAA